CCGCAACCCGGGCACGTGCCCTGACCAGGAATCGAACCGTGACCTCCTGGTTCATAGGTGGACGCTCAACCACTGAGCCACGCCAGGCCGGCCCAGCTGTGCCTTTAAAACAACCTCAATTCGGCCACGGTTGGCCTCGCACTCAAGTCCACTCCAAGAAAATTCTCCATTTTATTCCTCAACAGGGCACAGGCCAGGCCTTGTTAGCCAAGACTAGTCTCTGGGGATGAGGAGGGAGGTCCCATTTCCTGAGGTGGAGCAGGCCTGTGCCTGCGGAGCTCCTGGCCTGGCCTGGCCATTGTGTTCGCTTTCTTTCCTCCAGCACAGGCGGGTCTGGTTGCCTGGAGAGCAGAGGCGCTGTGGGAGGGCTGGGGTGGGAGTTTTGCAGGGGTGGGGGGCAGCATCATTCAATCCAAATGTTCCTCCTCCAGCCGTTCAGCCCTGAGTCACTAAAAGCACAAGGTGGTGGGGGCAGGGGGGAGTTGGTTATCCAATCTTTCCAGAAACTCCTCTGTGAGTCAGCTCACCAAGCTTTTGCCAGGGGGGCAACCAAGTGCCCGGGCCAGGGGCACAGCCACCATCTGGGAGGACCACCAAAGGGGTGGAAGCCAACCTCATCTTTTTTGGTCTCCGTGCATGTTTGGGCCGACAAAATGGCCCTATTGCTGTATGGCACGGCTTTTAGCGTAGGATTTCTTAGCAAAGGCCCCCGGACTGCAGGACAATGGCAGGGCTGTCACAGCACAGGGTTCAGGGGCAGGACCTGCACACAGTTTCGTTTGCTCACGGGTGTTTTGGCGGTTGTGGTTTGGCTCCACACTGGACCCCAGAGCCCTGATGCTGAAGGAGAGGAGAAAAGATAGCCTGGCCCCGGTGGGGGGTGGGGGGTGGGGGCAGGGGGGGCTGTCTGTGTCTCTATCTGGCAGATGCACCTCCTAAGCAGGACCCTGCCCTGACTCACGCATCGTGGATTAAAACTGCCATGAAACTAGGAGGGCCCTTGGAGATCAAGAGGTCCCCTCTCCCCAAATGTACAGATGAGGAAACTGAGGCACCAGAGACAAAGCTGTCTCCTCTCTTTTCCAGGGGTAATGACTCAGGGGAATCAGCGCTGCCGCAGACACAAGCCAGCAGCCAGGCAGCCAGGCCTCCCTTGGCTGCCCCTCATCCATGGAGTGGCTGGCGTCCCAGCCCTGCCCATCTCTTTCTGGATGTCATCTCAGCCAGGCCTCCCCTCATACTGATCTCCTTGGGCTGAGAAGGGAACCCCCAGCCGGAAGCCAGCCCTTGGTAGCCCAAGGCCTCATGCTGGTTCTCAGCATCCTCACGGCTCATGCCACGGCTGAGCCCCAGCTCACCCAGCTCACCCAGCTCACCCGCTACAGGCTTGGGAGCCCCTATGTGCTCCCCCGACCTCCCCCTCCCCACAGGAGTGAACAGTCCAGGAACCAGTGGGCCTCCTTGTCCGCACTCAGCTGTGGCTCTGGAACTGAGCAGTCTGAGCCCACTCGGGGGGAGGTTATTGCGTGACCACCAGGAAACCACTGCCTCAGTTTCCATCGCTATGACATGGGCACAGCCTCCTCTGACTCCCAGACTGGCGGAAGGACAAAATGAGTTCCTTGATGGGGAGGCCGTGGCCTTTAGTGCACATTGACCCCCTCCCACCCCTCCCCCTACGTCCTGGCTCCACCCTTTCCAAGCACCAGGGCTCAGATGCTATAATTTGCCAGAATCTGGTATGTGAGAGGACAGTGCAGGAGGGCCTAGGGGTTGGGGGCACTTGTAGTGCCTTCAGCTGGACCTTAGGCCCTTTCCCCTGTGGCGGCAGGAGGTGGCCCTGCAGGCCAGGCTCTGTCCTCATGTGCCCCTTCGCTTCTCTAGCGGGAAGCAGGGGTGCCAGCAGAGACTCTTTGGTGCAAACCTCCTCCAGCCCAGGCCCAGCATAGGTCAGGGCTCCCTACCCCACTCCTGTGCCCCACGCTCGTGGTCCCCACACAGCAGGGCTGTTGGGGGCCGGGGGCTGCAGTAGGTATCCAGACTGGGGCCTCGGCAGGAGGAGCAGGCAAAGGCTTGCAGGTGGGAGGCAGGCGGAAGGGGGTGGGGAAGGTGGAGGGAGACGCCGGGCAGGCCGCGGCCCCTCCCCGCTCCCTCCCTGCGCTCC